TACTGCTGATCAATGAAGATAAACTCAGCTTTGTTAGGCAGATCTCTATGGTGCAGCAGTGTAGTTAAAAAAACTTACAAAATAACAATGGCATTTGAAGGTGTCAAAACATTTTACAATTGTCATGTAGTGTGTGCTCAACCCTTCTGTAGGCTTTCCAACTTCCTTATAAAATCATACTTTTAATAGTCCGCTTCCAAAATCCTGCACCACCATTTGAAAATGTTTAAAGTCCTCCCTTAAAGTGGGAAACCAGCCTTCAATAGGGTGGCTGTACATTTTAGACACCAGATAATTCCTGAATCACACAGAAGCTAAAATGATGCAGGGTCAGGAATGTGGAGGAAAATCAGTTTTCCTAAAACAAAATAAAAGTTATCTAAAAACAGAAATTGTTGGAAAAGCTCAGCAGGTTTCGCAGTATCTATGCAGAGAAATTAGAGTTAACGTTTTGAGTCCAGTGACCCTTCCTCAGAACCCACTGAACCCATAACGTTAACTCTGATTTCTCTCTGTAGATGCTGCCAGACTTGCTGAGCTAATCCAGCAATTTGTTTTTGTTTCTGATTTCCAGTATCCACAATTCTTTCTATAAAAGTCTTAACTGTTTGTGCACTGAAATGCATCTTGTATCTTTCACACCTGAATAATCACTGATTTGATTAACCTATTTTTCTAATCAACCTGTTCAGAGATGTCATTACACACCTCTGGAACAGGTGAGACTTGAACCCAGGCCTCCTGGCCCAGGGATAGGGATGCTACCACTATGCCACAAGAGGGCACTGATTTGATTAAATAAACCATTACTAATTCCAAACAGTTGTTGGGCAATTTGTTTCCAGGCAGAGCACAGTTGGCAATCACATTACTTCAATTAACCTCAATCATTATGCATTGCTTTAATAACTTCACATTTAACTGATAATGATGAGGAACAGGAACTGTCAGGATAATAAATATAAAATGAAATGTTAACAAGAATTTACATCTGTCTTTAGCTTGCAGAATTTTAGGCAGCTTCACTAAGAAAAGGTATGTATGAATGACTTAAGTGAAAAGAGAATTTTCTCCATAACAACCAAGAAGTCTGAGTTGAGATTTAACAGAGGTGTTCCATATTCTGATGAGTTTTGATAGAATATGTAGAAAACTGTTCCATTTGGAGGACCAATGACCACAGGACACATGATTAAGATAATTAGAAGAGAAACCTGGAGGGAGTTGAATAGAATTTGTTTAATGCAGCAAGTTTTGATTAGAACTGTTATTTTATTTGTTCATGAGATGTGGACTTTGTTGGCTGGGCCAGCATTTATCGGCCATCCATAGTTGACTTTGAGTAGTGAACTGCTTTCTTGAACCTCTGCAGTCCATTTTCTATAAGTATACACATAGTGTTGTTGGGAACATAAGAAAATTTGAAAAGGAGTAGGCTGTTCAGCCCCTTGAGCCTGTTCTGCCATTCAATGAGATCCTAGATCAAACCAACAATCTGTCTGGACCTCCCACATAGGTGTGACGGTCAAGAAGGCAGAACAATTCCTTCTGTTCCTCAGGTGTCTTAGGAAATTTGGCATGTCCATAAAAACCATCACCACCTTTTACAGATGCATCATAGAAAGTATTCTATCTGAGCGCATAATGACCTGGTAGGGTAACTGCTCTGCCCAGGACCGTGAGAAACTACAGAAGTTGGTGTGCACAGCCTAGACCATCACGGAAGCCAACCTTCCATCCATGGACTTCATTTACACTTCTCGTTGCTGCGGAGAGGCTGTCAACATAATCAAATACCCCTCCCACCCCAGTAATGCTCTCTTCCAACCTCTTGCATCAGGCAGCAGATACAGAAGCTTGAACACACACCAACAAGTTCAAAAAAAGCTTCTTCCCTGCTGTTATTAGACTGCTGAATGGACCTCTCTAACTTCAAATGTTGATCTTGCTTTGTGCGCCTCCTGTGCAGCTGTTACCTCATTTGCCTTGCTCTGTCTAAGCACCCTATGACGTGTATGTCCTTGTTTACTCTGATCTACCTGTACTCCTCGCAAAACAAAACTTTTCATTGTACTTAGGTACATGTGACTACAATAAATCAAATCAAAATCAGATATCTTACAAGATGATCTTGCAGATATTGGTGTCTCTGTGTAAATGTTGACCTTGGCCTTGTAGATGGTAACGGCTATTGGTTTAGAAGGCACTGCTGAATGAGCCTAGATGAATTTCTGCAGTATATCTTATTCATTGTACACACTGCTGTTAGTTTTTGTCATTAGTTGAGGGAATTAGTGTTTATGGATGTGGTGGCAGTCACTTGGCTGCTTTGTCCTGAAAGGTGTCAAGCTCATTGAGTGTGGTTGGAGCTGCACTCATCTCGGCAAGTGGGGAGTATTACATCATAATTCTGAGTTGTGCCTTATAGAAGGTGGACATGCTTTGAAGGATCAAGAGGTGAGGGTTACCTACCACAGAATTCCGAATCCATGACCTGCTCTTGTAGCTACAGTATTTATATGACCAGTCCGATTTAGTTTCTGGTCATGAATGGTAACTCCCAGAATGTTGATAGTGGGGAAATTCAATGTTGTAATGGCATTGAATGTCAAGGGAAAATGGTTGGATTCTGTCTTGCTGGATTTGGTCACTGCTTGACATTTATGTGGTGAATATGTTACTTGCTACTTATTGACCCAAGCCTGAATTTCTCAGATTTTGCTACATTTGGATATAATCCACTTCAGTCTTTGAGGAGTCACAGATGATGCTAAACATTGTGCAATCATCAGCAATCATTCGCAAGCAGACTAATTTATTTTCCAATTTCTACAAAACACAGAAGTGGAGTATGTTTTCAAAGTCTTAATGCCACATCTTGGGTCATTACAAATGAAACCATCCAATAAGTGATCTTATAGACAGATTTGTTCCGATTAAAAATGCATTTAAGATTGATAGTAGGGAACTCTTTACTCAAGAAGTGATGAACACAGCATCCGGTCTCCCAGACAAAGTAGTGAAAATCCTGGAGTCATGCAAAAACCATTGAAACCTACCATGAGGGTAACTGAAGGGTCCGCGGTTAGCCAAGTTGTTCTGTCAGTCATAATTATCTTGCAGATGTCGTTAGTGTTGCATTGGTCACAGTGGCCAAGAGCAATATAGTAAAAAAGTGAAAAAGTACTGAAGAAAGCCATCAGGTCTGGCAGCATCTGCATAGAGAGAAAAAGAGTTAATGTTTCAAGTCCAATATGATTTTTTTTGGTTCTAAAGGAATTCTGTTTTTCTTACTCTACAGGTTTTCCATGGTACAATTTTCTGTTTTCTTTTCAAATCTCTAGCATCCGCAGTGTTTTTTTGATGGCTCTTGTTCAGTCAGTTTACATGTATGTTTTTACCATTAACAATATCATACAAACACTGTTTACTTACTACACATAAGGCTGCAGGAATGGGGTGTCATTGAAATTATGATATGGATGTCGAAACTGAGATTTTGCAGTTGATAAGAATAAAACCAACAAAATTGAATTCCTTTTGTGCTTCTTGCTGGCACAAAATGTTTATGTTACACAGTAGATAGATACTAAGTACTAAAGAAAGGGAAAATGAAGAGAGTTATGATGGATCATCAAAGACCAGTCAAAGAAAATGGTCTTGAGGATGTGTTGGAAGGAATTGGGCTGGGATTTCAGTGGCCAGGTATACAAGAACTGAATAAATAGTCACCCACAATAGAGTTGAAAGGATGAGTTACATGTAGCCCGAAGACACTTACCATAGAAGTTACAGGACAGGGAAGGCAGTGCAATGGTGAATTTGTCACTAATGAGTAACATAGGAACCCCGGCAAATGCTCTAGGACTTGGATTTAAATCTCACTAGGGCAGGTGGTAAAATTTACATTAAATTAATAAATCAAGAATTAAAAGGTAGTCTAATGGTGATCTTGAAACCATTGATAATTGTTGCAAAATACCGTCTGGTTCAATAAAGTCTTTTATGGAAGGAAAATCTGCCGTCCTTACCTGATCTGACCGACATGTGACTCAAGATCCACAGAAATAATGTTGATTCCTACATGCTCTGAAGGGAAAAAAAAGTAAAATTGAGTATTGGAGTTGGGATGTTATGTTACAGTTGTATAAATCGTTGGTGAGGCCGCACTTGGAGTATTGTGTACGGTTTTGGTCACTTTGTTACAGGAAAGCATAGTTAAACTGGAAAGTGTGCAAAGAAGATAAACGAGGATGTTGCCAGGACTAGTAGGCCTGAGTTATAGGGAGAGGTTGGCCAGGATAGGAGTTTATTCCTTGGAACGTAGAAGAATGAGGGGTAACCTTATTGAGGTGTATTAAATCGTGAGGGGCATAGATAGGATGAATGCATATAGTCTTTTTCCCAGGGATGGGGAATTGAAAACTAGAGGGCATAGGTTTAAGGTGAGAGGGGAAAGATTTAACAAGGACCTGAGGAGCAACTTATTCATGCTGAGAGTGGTGCATGTATGGAATGGGCTGCCAGAGAAAGTGGTTGAGGCAGGTATAATAGCAACGTTTAAAAAACATTTGGATAGATATATGGATGTGAAAGGTTTTGACGGATATGGACCAAATACGGGCAGTTGGAACCAGCTGAGTGGGCACCATAGTCAGCATGGACCATTTTGGGCCAAAGGACCTGTTTCCGTGCTGTATTACTCTGTGACTCAATGGCCACTGTTGAAAGAGTAGACTGTGTTCTGTCCTACCAGCAAGTCAGACCCACAAGGGTTGTGGAGGCAGGAAGAATTTGACTGCAGCATTCCTCTAAATTAAGTACAGAACCCATAAATTCTTAGGGCAATAGGTCAAACGTGGACATGGATGTCTCCTGTTGACTTAACCCCCTCATTCGCCCACAGCAAGGAAGTATAATGCAGCACTCCTGTCCTGGATGATGTCGTAGAGTCAATGTAATCAGCACGGAACAAAAACAGAATTTGCTGGAAAAGCTCAGCTGGCCTGGCAGCATCTGTGAAGAAAAAAATCAGAGTTAACGTTTCAGGTCCAGTGACCCTTCCTCGGAACCGGACCGAAACGTTAACTCTGATTTTTTCTTCATAGATGCTGCCAGACCTGCTGAGCTTTTCCAGCAACTTCTGTTTTTGTTCGTGATTTACAGCATCTGCAGTTCTATCGGTTTTCACTCAGTGCGGAAACTGGTCTGGTTATGCAGAACTTATACAACACAGTTGTCAGACCTCAGCTGGAGTATTGTGTACAGTCCTGGGTGTCACTCTAATGGAAGAATGTGAACGCAGAAGAGAATTACAAAAAATGGTTTTAGGGATGAGAAACTTCAGTTATGAGGATAAATTGGAGATGTTGGGTCTGTTCTCCTAGGAGACAAGAAGTCAAAGAAGATTTCTAATAGAAGTTTTCAAAGTCCTGAGATGTCTGCACAAAGTAGATAGGAAGGAACTATTATTGCTCGTAGAAATATCAAGAGCAAGAGGATTTGATTTAAAGTGAATTGCAAAGGTGATGCGAGAAAGAATATTTTTATACAAAAAATAGTTCAGGTTGAAAATACACTGCGTGGTATGTCTAGATAAGGCAGGTTCAATCGAGGCATTCAAGAGGCCATTAAATGATTATTTGAACAGAACAATGTACAATGGTATGAGGAAAAGGCAGAATGGTATTCAGTCATAATGCTTGTTGGAGAGCTGGTGCAGGCACAATGGACCAATTGCCGTCCTTTTGTAATGTAGCACTTCTGTGATTTTGAGTGGGATGGTCACGTGTCACTGCCTGATTTTCCTGCTCTTTCCACTTAACTTAGGGCTGTGTACTGCAGAAAATTCTGGACCAGTGTGCCATTTTATAGCAGCCTGAATAAACAACTTTTTACTGAAAATCTGCTGTTAATAATTAATTGTGCATTAATCCCCTGCTGAATGAACTTTGTTCGGTAACCATCTCGATACACGAATGGAATATTTTGCTTTGACTGAGCTCTATACTCTCAGAAATAAAGGTTAGGTTATTGCAGTGAGATAAGTTTGTAAGCATGGCTTTTGGTTTTCACAGTTTTTCTCAGTATAAATGTATTCAAATTTCTTCAACCAGACCCCTCCCCACATGACCTGTTTTCTTTCTTTAGTGTCAATTTATGAAATTGTACGATATAAATGCAAGTTGTAAAAGCTGTTCTTTTTAAATGAGTTGCCACCTTTATGACAATATTGACAGAGCTAGTTTTTGCGTTAATTTTGGGAAGACACTGTTTATGTAATGCTGAATAGTTTGTCCTAAAATAATGTCACCACAGTCGGTTTTTGGGGAATGACTTGTAGTTCTCTTTTCCCTCAGGCAAATCAGCTTGACTTTGTGTATTGGTTCAGAGGATTGAAAATGGGCCTGTAACGATGTTTGGGATACCATGAGCAGTGTCACACTACGCTATTTCTGCTATGGGTGCCTCTTCGCATCAGTGACCTGGACCCTATTCCTGTTCATCTACTTCAACTTGAACAATGAAGGCTACACTTTTGGCAATGTGCCCTTTGAGGGGAGCCAGCAGGCGCAGTGGAAATTCCAGCCACGAGTTACTAAAGGCCCCGTACGACTGCTTGAATCTCGGCACCATGGTAATATAGACAATCAGAATATGAAACAAATGCCAAGCGATTCAGAGAGAAAATTGTCACTGTCTTCAGAACTAGGTGAGTCACCTGTTACAAATCAGCTAGAGGTCAATAATCTGGCATTTAGTTTATGAGCTCTTCTAAAATGAAAATTATTTATTTATGAAATGCGTTTAAGTACAAACCATAACAAGGCCTTCTTGGCCATCACCAACAAAGCACAAGTTTTTCAGGGAAAATCTTCCTGCAGACTCAAGATGATTAAAACTACTTCCCCTCAACACTCAAAACTTTACCATTCTGGCAGTTTCACTTCCCTTTCTGATCCGCCTTACTGCTGAGCCTCATCCCAAGGCTAAACTGAGGTTTGTCTTACACCCTGAAAGTGATTTTTCTCAAGCCTTGAGCTGTCATGCCTCCAACTAACCTCAGAGAAGGGGCCTGGTTTTACTTCATGGCCTTGTGCTCCTAGTTAGGGTGGCACTGCTTCCTGCACACCCATGACTCTAACCTCAACATGATGTCTGACAGTCCAAAACATTCTGAGGGAATGCTGGACACTCAGAGATACTATTGTTCAGATGAGACGTTAACTTAAGACCCTGGTTTCTTTCCTATGTGGACATAACAGATCCCACGACTTTATTTGAAGAACAGCAGGGAATTATCTCTAATATCCCTGAATCAACATCACAAAATGTATTACGTAGTCATCATGCCATTGCTGTTTGTGGAAACTTGCTGTGTACAGATTGTCTGTCGCATTTCCTACATTACAACAGTGACTACAATCAAAAAGTCCTCCATTGGTTGTAAAATGCTTTGAAACATCTGGTAGTTCTGAATGGTGTTTTATAAATCAGATAAAATTGGATATAAGTTGAATGGTTTACAGGCCAATTTGAGTGTACTTCGCCTGTAGGTCTCTAAGGTTCTTGAGTAGATTTATAGCTCGGGTTGTGGATGCTATGGTTGGTTCGCTCACCAAGCTGGTTCATTAATTCGCAGACGTTCCATTACCCTGCTGGGTAATATCATCAGTGCAGCCTCCGATGAAGCACTGTTGTGTTTTCCTGCCTGGTATTTAAACTCTCAGGTCCGTTAGAGTTGATTGCCTCATTTCCGGTTTTTCTTCTCAGTGGAGTATGTATAGGGTCTAGCTCTATGTTTTGTTGATGACCTTCTTGGTGGAGAACCAGGCCTCTAGGAATTCCCATGCTTGTCTCTGTTTGGCCTGTCCTAGGATCCTGGTGTTGTCCCAATTGAACTGGTGGTTCTCTTTATCCGTGTGAATGGAGATGAGTGAGTATTAGTCGTGTCTTTTTGTTGCTAGTTGGTGTTCATGTACTCTTGTGGCCAATTTTCTTCCTGTCTGTCCAATGTAATATTTGTTGCAGTCCTTGCGTGGAATTTTGTATATTATGTTGGTTCTGCCCACAGTGGGTAAGGGGTCTTTGGTTTGGCATAGGGTTGACGTGGGTTTGTGTGCTATTCTGATGCCTAAGGGTCGTAGGAGACTTGTGGTCAGTTCGGATATGTTCTTGATGTACTGTTGCGTGATTAGTGTGTTAGGGCATGCAGTATCTTCCTGTTGTTGTTCATATGATAGGCATCATCACATCCAGTTGTTCGGGTATCCGTTGTCCTTAAACACTTGGTGGAGGTACTCTTCTTCTTTTTGGCGTAGTTCTGGGTTGCTACAGTGTGTTGTCACTCGTTTAAACAGTGTTTTCAAGCAATTTCGTTTGTGGGTGTTGGGGTGGTTACTGTTGAAATTCAGTACTTGGTCAGAGTGTGTGGCTTTTCTGTGTACCTTTGTCAGGAATTCCCCGTTGGCCCTGCATTCTACCATGGCATCCAGGAATGGGAGCTGTTTGTTCTTTTCCTCTTCCCTGGTGAAATTGATGCCGGTGAGAGTGCTGTTTATTAGTTGACGTATCTCCTCTAGTTTGGTCTGTTTGATGATGACAAAAGTGTCATCCACATATCGGATCCATAGTTTGGGTTGGATTTGCAGAAGGGCCATGCTTTTGAGTCTCTGCATCACCGCTTCTGCTATTAGTCCGGAAACCACTTCAACTCCCCCTCCCACTCTTTGGATGACATGTCCATCCTGGGCCTCCTCCAGTGCCACAATGATGCCACCCGAAGGTTGCAGGAACAGCACCTCATATTTCACTTGGGAACCCTGCAGCCCAATGGTATCAATATGGACATCATACTACATACTACATACCCAACTCCCCCTCCCACTCCTTGTCCATCTTCCCTTGACTGACCAACCCCCACCCTAACTCCCCACCTACGCTCACCTTTACTGGCTCCATCCCTGCCTCCTTGACCTGTCCGTCTCCTCTCCACCTATCTGCTCTTTTATCCATCTTCCATCTGCCTCCCCCTCTCTCTCTATTTATTTCAGAATCCCCTTCCCCCCCCAATTTCTGAAGAAGGGTCCAGACCTGAAACATCAGCTTTCTTGCTCCTCTGATGCTGCTTGGTCTGCTGTGTTCATCCAGCTCTACACCTTGTTATATCAGAGGATGAATGGATATTTTTGGGTTGTGATGGAGTTCCCTGCGCTTGTTTTTGAGACCCTTGCTTTTCTTGATATAAATGGTAATGGTCTGGATATTGGTAAAGGAGGGACTGTTTTCAAGATTATTGCTGATGCAAAACCTATTAACATTGTACACCATGAGGAGGATGACATAAAATGACAGATAAATCGGTTGAGTGGGTTACTGATTTGGACAAGTGTGAGGTAATGCATGTTGGTAGAAGGAACATTAGGGATGTGTATAAAATAAGCTCTAATGGATGTGTATGAGTAGGGAGACCTGGATGTGTGTATATATAGCTCATTAAATGTGATAGGACATATAGTGTGAGCATTTGATAAAGTACATAGCTTTCCAGGCTTTAATAGTTGGGTCACAAGAGTACATGAGCAAGGAGGTTATGCTTAAAATGTATAAGCCACTAGACCTCAGTTGAAGTGTTGTGAACGGTTGAGTTGGAGTGTTGTGAACAGTTCAGGGTGCCATACATTATTAAGGATGCGAATGCATTGGAGAGAGTAGAGGTGAGGTATATGAAATTGGTTCCAGGGATGAAAACATTCTATTGTGAAAGTTGATTAGAGAAGTTGGGACTGGTTTTCTTGGAAATGAGAAGGGTAAGAGGAGATTTGGTAGAAGTTTTCTAAATCATGAAGGGACTGAGAAGTGTAGACAGAAAGAAACTGTTCCTTCACGATCCTGATCAAGCACAAGAGGGCAGAGATATAAGGTAATTTGGGCAATGTGAGAACAAGCTTTTTCACACAATGAGTAGTTATGATCTAGAGTGCACCGCCCGTGGTGGAAGCACATTCAATGGAAGCATTCAACAGGGCATGAGGCGATTATTTGAATAGCAAGGGTCTTTTCCCTCGAGTGGGGGAGTTCAAAATGGAGGGGGGGCATATTTTTTAAGGTGAGAGGAGAAAGTTTTAAAAACAATATGAGGGGCAGCTCTTTTACACAGACAATAGTTCGTGTGTGGAATGAACTGCCAGAGGAAGTGGTGGATGAGGGTACTGTTAGAACATGTAAAAGACATTTTGATACGTTCATGAAATGGAAAGGTTTGGAGAGATAGGGGCCAAGTGCAGGTGAGTGGGACTAGCTTAGTTTGGGAACATGGTCGGCATGGACTAGTTGCACTGAAGGATCTATTTCCATGCTACATGACTCTATGATTCAATTCAGGGCTGTAGGGAAAAGGCAAAAAAATTGCACCAAATTCTAATACTCATTTGATAGAGCTGAACATAAGAAATAGGAACAGGAGTGGGTCATTTGGCTCTTCAAGCCTGCTCCACCATTAGATAGGATCACGGCTGCTCTGACACTCCTCATGTCCACTCTCTTGAGCTTTCTCCATTACATACGATTCCCCTACCAATTAAGAATCTATCTATCTCAGCCTTAAATTGGGGTAGTAACGACCGAGTGGTATTATCACTGAACTAGAGGTCCAGATAATGTTCTGGGGATCCCAGTTCAAATCCCGCCACAGCAGATGATGGAATATGAATTCAATAAAAAAAATCTGAAATTAAGAGTCTAGTGATGACCATGAAACCATAGTCGATTGTCAGAAAAAATGATCTGGTTCAATAATGTCCTTCAGGGAATGAAACAGCCATCTTTAGCTGGTCTGGCATACATGTGAGTCCAGATCTACTGCAGTATGGTTTGACTTCCAATTGGCCTGTGGACAATTAGGGATGAGTAATAAATGCTGGCCTAGCCAGTGCTTCATCCATGAATGAAAAAAAAATACACAAGATCTCTGCCGTCACAGCTCTCTGTGGCAAGGAGTTCCAAAGACACTCACCCCTTTGAGAGAAATTCCCCCTCATCTCAGTCTTAAATTGGCATCCTTAATTCTGAAACTATGACTTTTGGTCCTAGATTGTCCCTTGAGGGGAAACATCCTCTCAGTATTTACCCTATAAAACCCCTTAAGAATCCTATCTGCTACTAGTAACCAAGAGGACAGCCTCAGAGTGACAAAATAACTCTTTAGAACTGAGATCAGGAGGAATTTCTTCCGCCAGAGGTTGGTTGATCTGTACAACTCATTGCCACAGAAGTCTGTGGAGGCTGAGTCATTGAGTGTAGTTAAGACAGAAATAGATTGGTTCTTGATTAGTAAGGGAATCAAGGGTTACGGAGAGAAGGCAGGAGAAACATATCAACCAAGATCAAATGGTGGATCATACTCAATGGGCTGAATAGCCTAAATCTGCTCCTATATCTTATGGTCTTTATGAGATCACTTCTTATACTTCTAAATTCCAATGAGCAGTGCCACAACCTGTTAAACCTTTGCTGATAAGACAATCCCTCCAAATCGGGATCATCTCTGAACTTATTTTTTCTTTATTCATTCATGGGCTGAGGGTGTCGCTGGCTAGGCAGCATTCATTGTCCATTCCTAATTGCCCAGAGGGCAGTTAAGAGTCAACCACATTGCTGTGGTTCTAGAGTCACATGAAGGCCAGACCAGGTAAGGATGGCAGTTTCCTTCCC